TAAAATATTATATCTTTTATAAAATATAATATATATAATATATTCAAATTTATACTTTTATTACGTAAAAAAATAAAAAATTTAAAAATTTCTTAATTTTTATTAACATCTATAGTTCATATCATATTTTTTTTTAGATATATTACATATAATAATTGTTAAAATTGTCAAAAATGGATTTGTTCTCTCTTGCAAGATGTTCAATGAAATGATTGAAGAGAAATATAATCATAACAATATAATTATTTTTTATAAAAAAAATAAATATATAGAGATTAATTTATTACATATATCATATTTATATGATCTCTATGTATTCATGTACAGAAAAACTATGTAATGCATTTTTTTATATTAAGTAACTTTTATAAGAGTATTTTTTATAACTTCAATCTTTTAAGATATTCTATTATTCTCATTTAAAAAAAAATCTATATATCTTGTATTTTTATTATAAAATTATATTATTATATTAATCAATAATTTCGTTAATCATGTATTTGTTAATTAACAACCTTATCTTATTCAATGTAAAATATTTTAGTCTTTAAGAAATTACAAAACCTTGATATCGAGTCATGATGAGCTTCCTGGCCATATAAATTGCGACTCATTCAAGTTTGAGGAGGATTTGATGAATAAATTGCCTACCACTCCAGAATACAACAATCATCTTTATGGTTCAACACCAGATTCGAGAGATTATTTTTCAAGACCTTTCGAGAAAAGATTGCATTCGAGGTTACCTGGAAGAAATTTCAACTTACTCAAGACAGATGCAAATTCGGTAAATGAACTAGAGTCTCATGGATTTAATTATGATCCAGGTCGTGGACACATTGAGGACGACTATGTTGGTCCTGCTATGGAATTAGTAAGTTTTTCAAAAAATCAAAGTAAATATAAAACAATATGTTAATAACTCAATAGAATTAAAAGAATTAAGTTAAGTTAGAAAATTTCTATGAAATAAATAAATTTTTCAAAAAAATCAAAACAAAATAAAATTAATTGATTTAAGTAGAAGAATTTTTGATAATTCGATAGGTTTATGCATGGTCCACTATCGATTACACTTATGACAGCATCGAAGCTCGAGATTCGGCTATCTTCGATGGAGATTTTATAGCTGAAAACAATTTACCTTTGGGACTCGAAGTTTGGAGAGATAAAGTTTTCATTACTCTTCCAAAATGGAAAGATGGTATTCCAGTGACATTGACTACCATACCCAAACATTCGAAGACAAAAAGTCCAAAATTGAGACCTTATCCGAACTGGGAATGGCATACAGTAGGTTAGTACAATACTGTTAGGTTTCTCATAAGTAATGATATTTAATCAGCACCAAATAATATCATTTTAACTTTTATTAATTTTAATAAACATAATAATAAAATAAATAATAATAATATCTACTTATACATATTTTTAATTATTATTTATATTATTTATATATTAATATTATTCACATATTATAAAATTTTAAAAAATAGTTTATTAATTGAATTTACTTAGAATACACTACTAATTAAAATGTGTAAAGATATGTTGCATGACTTTCTCCTTTTTTGTTTAATTTACTTAAATCCATCATAATAAAATATTATGTAAATTTATATTTTTATAATCTAATTAAACATACTTCTAATATTAATTTTTATTTTTAGGAAACTGCGATGGACTAACTTCCGTCTTCAGAATTCAAGTGGACGAATGCGATCGTCTTTGGATCTTAGACTCTGGTAAAGTGGATATAGCGAAAGGAGGCAAATTGGCTTGTCCTCCAGCGATCTTTATCTTCGATTTAACTACAGATACTCTTATCAGAAAGTACATTATACCAAAAGATCAAGTAAAAGAAGACTCCTTGTATACCAATATCGTTGTAGATATCAGAAACGAGGATTGTGGTTCAGCAATAGCTTATATCTCCGACGTGTTCCGTTATGGATTGTTAGTATATGATTTCTTCAAAGACTCCTCTTTCAGAATTCAACATCATTTCTTCTATCCTGATCCCTTGGCTTCTAAATATGAACTTCATGGCATAAAATTCCAATGGACAGACGGGATTTTTGGAATGGCACTAAGTCCAGTGGATATTCACGATGATAGGACACTATTCTTTCATCCTATGTCTAGTTTTCGAGAGTTTGCTGTTTCCACGTCTATTCTTGGGGACAAGAAGACAGCTGAAGAGAATACTGATTACTTCATGCCTATTGGCAGACCCAGAGCCAAAGATTATGGTCATTCTTCAGGTTCCGTGATTGATAGAAATGGAGTAATGTTCTTTAATATGGTGACTAGAGATTCTGTCTGGTGTTGGGATACCAGAAAAGAGTACATACCTCAGAATCTTGGTGTCATAGGTACTAGTAATTTATCCTTGGTCTTTCCAAATGATATCAAGGTTGACCATGAATATGATCAAAATGTATGGGTGCTCTCTAATAAGTTAGCTATGTATCTTTACGGAAGCATCGATAGCAGCAAGATTAATTATAGAATATTCAAAGCTAATATCAAAGAAGCTGTCAAAGACACTGTTTGTGATCCTAATTATGTTGTGCCTGGTTCTGAACATGGTTATGACGAAATTTGTTGAAAATTATTTAAAAAACATTGATGACAGATATGGGATTATATAGTGAAGAAAAATATAAATATTTATAAATAAAAGATAATGAATATTTATAAAAATTAAGGAAAGAGGATAAAACAATGTTATCCAATCATTTTTGAATTATAATTTCCTTTTGCAATATTCAAATAATTTGCGATTTCCACTTCCATATAAGCTAACTAGACACTGCCTTTAACTAATGAAAAAATGACTTTGATATATTTAAAATACGGCAAATTATAATATTGTAATTATAATAAAATAAATATAAAAATTATCAATAACAACAGCAATTTTCCAGGAATTACTTGACGATAATCAAAGGCAAAGATTAAGAACTAGAATGGATAGCAATTGATTCTCTTACTTCGGGAAAGCGAATATGAATAGATGTTATAATTTTAATTATAAGAGATTAAAAGAGAAAGCAACTACCTCGAATTCGCTTTCTTCTGAAGTAATAGAAAAGTTTCATATTTTTGAACTCTAAAAATAAATGAATTATAAACATTTACTGTGTTTTTTTAATTACATTTTTTGATTTAGTTGATCACATTGATTCGTAATCAGGGATTTAGTTCTATTGTATTCTATATTATTGTATTCTATATTAAGAGTGAATGAATAAAAATGAATATCATGATCGTGTAATGAAAATACATTAAATAAATTATCAAATAAAGATATTATTAAAAAAGAATTGTTTATTTTTTATTATCTATTATATGAGAAAAAATAAAAAAAAAATTTCTCATTTCCTTCTTAGGTAAATTGATAATAGATAATAGTTTTAATGTATTATATTAGATTACCGAATATATATCAGGTTTTGACATAAATTTTTTTCAAAAACAAAAAATCACATATAATGACCAACTTTTCAATTTTGTTTAAAAGAATACAATCTACGAGAAGATAGCACTCAAAATATTTTCGGAATTTTAAAATTAAAAATTTTTCAATTCTTTGTAATTCAATCAATTTCTTTGTAATTTTTTTAGGAAAATATAATCTGTGAGAAAGTAGCAAGCAAAATTTTTAACTAAATTTCAAGATCAAAATTTTTTATTCAAATTCTATATAATATTTATTATATTATATATATAATATTATATATATAATATTTGTATTATATTATATTGAATAATATTTATCTATGAAATACTTGAAACAATATATGAAACAATAATTATTTTTTACCATATCTTTGTACTATTATTTTTTATAATATTGAATGTTTTTCCTACAATTTCTTTAATTCTATAGATATTTTTTTTTTTCATATACTTCTTGCAGCTCTTGCTCTTCTTTCTGCCAGTATTAACTTAAATATCATTACTTTTTTCTTTTTCACTTCTTTATTATTCTATTATTTGTATATTTTATTTCTTACAGATGCCACGAAATCATTAATATTAAAATATTCTAAAAACAATTTAATTTTAATTTATAATATTTTCTTTATACTATCATAAATAAATAAGATAGAAATTATTATAAGTCGCAGATAATAAGCTTTGATAATATAAAACAATAAATATTTTATTTTTTTTAATTTTATTTAATTTTATTTAATTGCATATATATTGCAGTCCTAGGTAAAATTTATTGTAAATAGTAATAAAGATAATAATTTTAAATCGAGCTGTAAAAATATTAATTATTTAATACATTTATTTTTTCATATTATTATTTCATATTTTTCGTATAAAATAATTTATAAAATATTTTATTTTATAATTATTTTTCAAAAAATTTTAAGAAGTAATTTTAAGTAAAAAATAATATAACATGAATTTTTAAAATATTTTTTAAAATATTTAAGTAATATAGAAATAATAATTTTTCATATTTCTTCGTATAATTTTAATTTTTTATATTGTAATAAAATAAAATTTAAAAAAGAAATAAAATAAAATAATTAAACGTATAATTATTATATGTTTCGATTCTTATTAGAACATTGTTTGAATTATTTATAGATATATTTATATTTAGAATTATATATAGAATTTGTTTGAATTATTTATGAATATAAATGTGATATAGATAAAGAATATTTGGAATAAATAAAAAAATGTAATATTTATATTTATATATATAGAATGTTGATTACATAAAATAGATAATAAATATATACATATATACATGTATTTCGAATTTTACACTATTATGCATAAAAATTTCTTTTTCAATGGCATAAATGTTTATCTGAAAATTTTTATAATAAGAGTATATATTATGTGAGCATACGCACATAATTGAGAACAACGATTCTCAAGTTGCTATTTAGAAATGTCGTCGTGAGTGAAATTAAAATGTATAAGCTTTTTTCAGTTCATATTTATAATTATTAATTAGTTAATATTCTAAGTATAAATTATTTCTAATAAAAACTATTTCTATTTTTAAAGAGTTAAATAAAAAATCATTCAAGAATGTCTAATCACAAACCAGATTATAGGTTATTTGTGCGCGCATCAAAAATATTTCAGATTTGAAAAACCAAAAAAGAATGTGAAACAATTTTATTTCTTGCAATTAAGAAGTGATTATAAGGCAATGGCGATTCTCTCATATCTAAAATCCCGCGCCTTGCCTCATTTGTTATCGAGTTATGTTCACTCTCGTCAATTGTCATCTCGAAATCGTTCGGCACGCAATAATCCCAACGGAGAAGCCGGATGCGTCAAAATTAACGTGAACGAACGAAACACTCCTTTGAAATTTTCCGAGTGATCCTCAGTGCAGAGGTTTCGGTGATCGAGAGTTTTTCCAACAGCTGATAAAGTCGACGATGATCGGCTCTCGTGGAATCAACAACTCGCTGGTCCTCCGGCTCCTTCGACAGTTTCGTGTTCCTGATGCCTAATTTCCTCGGACGTCTCTTTGGAATTTCTTATAAAACTGAACGATTGATAATGAACATTTTAGGTTTGGTAAGTATCGTTTCTTTATATCGATATCTTTTCAATTATCTTTTTATTTACAATTTCTTTATGCTTTGTCGATTATAACCTCTATAACCTTCGGTTTTTATTCATCGAAGAAAAAAAGAAAGGTTAATCATTTACACTCGAAAACTTTTCCATTCTAAAAAATTAGCAATTTGAAATGTGATTATAAGGAAAAATATTTGACACAAATATCACAAATTGATAAAGAAGTCTCTTTTCTAGATAAAAAAAATTTATAAAAACCATTTATTCTAGAAATAAAACATAAAAATCAAAATTAAATTAATCTGTAAAGACTTTTGAGATCAATAAATAAAAATAACTTAATATGCACTTTATATCTCTATTCATCGTAAAATATTCTTTGTATGAGCTCTATTTTATAAGATCAATTTCGTCAAGATAGAATACTATTTATATATTATTATTGAAATTTCTAAGTTTAAATAATTAAGGAAAAAATGAGAAAATTATTTTTATAATTTCTAGAATATTGTAAAGTATAATATTAAAATTATTATAAGTAAATAATATATCTATTAATTTCGTTTCCAATTTCTATATAAAATTGATTAGTGAATGGTAATTTATTTTTCGAGTGCAAATCGTTAAACTTTGTCTTGAGACATCAAATATTTTTCACTAAATATATTTTCCAAATATAATCCAAAAACAAATATGCAAATTTTATCAGAAAATATAAAAAATTATTTTTGGGAAATGTTTTTAGTATCTTGAAACTTATTGAAAAAATTAAAAATTGAGTCTAAAAAAAAATTGTATTAATGCAATGAGCAATTAATTTTCTCAATAAAGAGATAATTAAAAAAAAATATATATTCATCAGAACATGTCTTTCAAAGGTTAATAGCACACTAGATTGGAGTCCCATTAAATGGAGAAACAAGCTCGAACAAATATGGAACTTGTCTTTATCGCAGGGAACCCTTATTTTTGATACTATTGGAGAGGATACGATTAAAACTGGTTAGAAATATTCCTCGAAATTTAATAAAAATGAAATTAACATTACTAATTTATAATTATTTTTATTTTTATTAACTATAGCTTTATCATGGATCGTAATCACACGAATCATTATCGCCCATGTGTATACGATCTCTTATCTGACAAACATTTATCCCATATTAACATCTACTCGTCCGAACTTGTTACTACCCTGGTTGATCCTGAGCTTCTTCAAAAATGTCGTGCTGGAAGTAATCGTAATAGCTATTGGCCTTTTGCTTTGGTACGACAAGAGATTCTCGTTAACCATTTTCCTTGAATTCGTCCTTGTGAAGGTCATTCCTTTGAGTAAGTAAATATTCAATTATGGCGCATTACATATTTGAAATGAAAAGTATGATTAAATTAATTAATGTTAATATTTTTAAATTATATAAAATATTTAAATTGGAATACAACTGAAAAGAAGTAGTTTTTGATAGTTTTTGATAGTTTTTGATAAAAATAAA